CAAAATATGTTACTATTAGATGTTTTCTTTGATTGCTTATTTGAATTGAGAATTAAAACTGTTAAATATAAAAATAAAATTTTATATAATCATCTAAATGAGAATATATATATATGAAGTAATTTAAGTGTTATTTTGGGGAAAAAAAAATCTAGATCATGTTTGTCTTCTTAATAGATCATTATGTGGTCTCTAACAGTTCTTTAAACAATAGAATATAAAATTTTAAAATGTATGAAATCACTTTAATTTAATAAGAGTAAATTTGACAGTTGTCTTTATTTTAAAATAGCATATATGAATCTTAATTTCCTACTAAAATATATTGATAATATGTTGTTGATGATCTTAACTTTAAAGCTATCAATCATGTTAAAAATCACTTCGAGTGAAAATTTTGATATGGAATATTTAGAGATGATAATGCAATTTTTGGCATGAATATAATTAAAAATAGAAATAACAGTGTACTATTTTAAACCAATCATTATATATAAAGAAATTTCTGAAAAATAAAATAAAATTTATGCATGATGTAAGATCTACTCTTGTCTGTTTAGTCTTTAATTTAGGTAAGTCACAATAGGCGATCCATGTGTGGCAGACGATAAAAATTCTAAAAAACAAACCATTTTGCATATTGTGACTTTGTGTGATTCCTATATATGTTTTTTTTTCTTTTTCTACCATCGAGTCCGAATATATCGCCATAATTGAGTCACTAAAAGAAGCTTTGTGGTTAAAAAATCTTTTAAATAAAATTGACTATTTGCATAAAAATATTACTAATTTTTTCACATAGTTAGTCAGTATTCAATTATATAAAATCCCTATTTTTCATAATCGATCTAAATATGTTGATGTATGATTTTATTTTATTAGAGATATTATTTCTAAAAAATTTAATAAAATTGGAGAAAATACATTATGAATATAACATTGCAGATGTATTAAAATAGTCTCTTTTTTTCTTTAAGATTTGAATTATATTAAAAGATATTTTATTGTGATACTTTCAGTAAGTCTAAATAAAATTATTAATGTCTAGTTAATTAAGTCTAATCTAGTACTCTCTTTTTCAGAAAAAATTTATAATTTTGATTGGACACAAAAATTAAAAAAATAATAATATTTTAATATTAAAGTGGAGTAAGTAAAAAATAAAATAAGGTATTATGAAAATTTTAGAATTGATAAAAAGTTAGTGGAGTAAGTAAACAGAACTAATGAGAACTTGATTATTATTTGTTAAAGTAGAAATAATAAAATTATGAGTGGATAAAAATATTTACTATAAAATAGAATAGACATAAATTTAGCATATTATATATTAACATAATCTTTACGGACGGAGTTAGTATTACAATTTTTATAAGACTTACTAATTATTTTTAGTTTTGTAGGTGCGGAAAGTATTAGCAATGATGATCCTAGAATAATCCAAAAAAATTGTATCCCAACTAAAGGTCGAGGATTGTTAATTATTTGGGTCAACAATTAGCGAGGCTTCAATCTAACAAAAAACTAAAACAAAAATAAAAAAAGCTTCAAATTTACGAAACATTTTAAATTCAAGCAAGTATGAAAAAAGTTATGTAATAGCCTTATAAAAATCTTTATGCATTTTATTTTTTTCACCAGCCTGAATATTGTCTCTCCTGTACCAAGTTGTGTCCAAAAAAATTTCTATATTTATAGCCTTTGTAAGTAAACTATTGTGTAACATGTTGATTGGATTTGAAAAACAAAAGGTTTGGACTGAAATAAAGAGTCTCTAAAATGAATTCATTGTACATGCTCTTATGCACCCTACTTGAAGCCCGACTCATTGCTATGTGATTTAGAGATTAAATCTATGAGGTTAGATTCTAATAAACCCTATATATATAAACAAGGGTGTGTTTGTTGGCCTTCATTCTCGTATTCATTCCCACACAAACACATTTTTTCCATCTCTAATCTCTAAAACTCTCATCATTTTCTCTAAAAACCTTTTATCTTCCGTGTTTGTTCTTCCTCGTGATTCTTCAGTACTTAGTTTCTTATGCATGAAACTTGAAGCTTGATCCTTTGCTTTCATTTGCTCAGTTCTCCATGGAATTTTAGGAAGGTCGGACAAGATTTGTGGCAGTGCAATTGTTTTGTGTTGTTTTTGTTAAATGTAAAAGAAATTTGAGATCGGACAAATCCAAAATTACTTATCCGAAGTTCTGAAATCGAATATCAAATTGAAATCACATTCGAGCCTCGCGTAGTACGCGATTTCTTTGAAGCGAATTCGACCCGCTACCGATCGCCTTCCAAGATAGAACAAATAAAACGGAATCAAAGTTTCACTGCGAACCGAACCAGGAAAATTGTAGGTTTTGAAGAGAATTTTGAGAGAACTGAAGGACAGAGAATTGGGAGCGAAAAAAAAAAAAAAAAACAACGATTAGAAGAGTTTTTTTATATTCGGTAAGGTTTTTGTTTGTGAGATTATTATATTTAATTATAAGAAGGAGGTTAAAATCAAAGTGCCCCAAAATCCGTAACCACCCTCACATGTTGCAACAACTTTTTCTATCCTATTAAATTTAAACTTTAACCGTCAAAATAAATTAATCGAATAAAATAAAATACAAATTTTGAATTATTTTATAGCAATTGGGTTTGGCCCACGAGTCTCAAGATCCAATCTTAACTATATATATTTTTAAATATATATGTAAGTCTAATGCATAATCTCATAAGCCCAATTCATCGAGAATCCATTAATTCTTTGATCATAAATGTGATTACTTTGTATTTAAAAAGTGTGACATCTCTTTGATTTTTTATTATGGGATACAACCTTTCACAATTTTTCTCCTTTCTTCCTCTTTCACCTTCACACACCAACAGCTTTCGCCTATGATGTCAGGTTCTTTTTCGATTTACCTTGCGTGACGGTGTATTGGTGTATGAACACAACCATATTTGTTTTATTAAGGATTTCAATTTGGTTTTCATAGGGGTAGGGGTCGATTATGTTTGGATGCGGTGGTTGAGACCAATTCAGTGTTGATTTGTTTGTGTGTGGGTGAATTTAGGAGTTAGTTTGAGTTTGAATTGCATTTCAATTTTAAGATACACTTTGGAATTTTATGCTGATTTTAGGTTTATTGGTTTAGTTTGGATTTGAGATTTTGATGCTTGAGTAGAAAATATAATATAAATGTGTATAAAATTAAATTTATAAAATTAGTAATCGTGTAATTTGACTATTAAATTGTGTTAATTATAAATAAATATCTATTTATATTATAAAATAGTTTTATTTTCTAATGACATATATATTTTATTAAATTATTATTATTCAAATATTCAAATAATTAGTTTATTATAATTTTGCACAGATGTGCAAAATTTTTAGCAAAGTATTTTTTTAATTAAAAAATAATAATTTGTCAAGCTCCCTAAATTTTAGAACACACTACATATTAATTTCACGTCCAAACCACACTGTACAATGCCGACACAGTAGTATTGGCCAAACCTAGCCAATTGAAACACATCTTAATTTTTTCATTATTCTTAAATTTTATGAACAGAATATTAAATTTTGATTTTGATAAATAAAACAAAATAAAAGTAAGTTTCCAAATGTATATGTAAAATGGAGGGAAAATAAATACAAATAGTGATTTTGTCCTCCCTCTCTATTTATCCGAAGGGATAAAACGGTTGATGCCTGTTCAGCTGGTCTAGATTTTAAATCTAAGTTTTAAATAATACAAAATATAAATTTAGATATTTATTTGATGTGATATAAATAAATGATATATTAAAAATATAAAAATTAATTCTTAATATAATATAAAAAAAAATTTAAAAAATTAATATTTAATTTGCTATTTTTTAAAAAAAAAATTATAAAATAGTAAAAATCTTAAAAACAAACCCAAAGACACACTCCTCGAGTAAAAAATTATATCCTTACAATCACTAGCAAAATAATTTATCCTTACAATCACTAGCAAATAGACTTTTATGGTTTTACCCCATTTCTTTCTTTTTTTTTTTCTTTTTTTATGGTTTAATGTTTTGGTGTTCTAGGGGGGTAGAAGAATCACACCAACCCATTCCAAGCTTGGTTTTATTCTAGTGCCATGGTAACAACATCATGTATAATAAGCTTTCACAACTTGGATACCAAAGTTAATAAATACATATATATATATATATTAATTATATTCCATAATTTAAAATTTTAAAAAATAATAATAAAAGAACTACAAAAATTTAGCATAAAAATATATTTACATTTAGCAATACCTTTTTTTTATATATATAATTTTAATAATTTAAAAACACATTCAACTTTATTACAATCAAATACTATTATTTTTTAAATACTTTTTACAAATTCATTCAGTCCTAAAATCAACCTTAATTCTCTTTTAGCTTCTACTGTGAATTCAAATATCAACCTTAATTCTCTTTTAGCTTCTACTGTCAATCCAAATAAATATGACACGCAAGATCCAAAGACAAATTTCAACTATGATTTTACAGTCACGAATTTACCTTATATCAACATGATATTCTTTTAAATAAATCTTATTTGCACGAATAAAAATCCTCAAAAAAATAAATAAATAAATTGAATTAAAAACTAAAACGTATTTGATTTCAATTTAACTCGAATGGATAGAGAAAGTAATAAAGCACACAAGTTTTATGTATGTTTTCTTGAACAGTTGAAAATTATTCAATACTAGGGTGTGTTTGTTTAGGGTTTTGGATTTTGAGTTAGAATTTGAATAGTAAAAATTTTGAATTTGAATATAAATAAGTGTTGATGTGATGTTTTGAATGTAAAATTGATTTTTAGTATAATATAAAAAATAAAAAATAAGTGTTTGATTTGATATTTTTAGAGGGAAAAATAGAATGAATAGTGGATCGAAAATTCAATCCCCCAAACAAACACACTTAAATGTACTTGGACTTGACGAGCTTAAACACCCAAACGACAGTAAAGTAACAACACAGATTCAATAGAAAAGACATAAGCAACCACACAATCAAAATTCTAATCAATCTTACAAATTTGATTCTACCAACAGAGATACATACAGTGATGTTTTGCCTACCAAAACTTGAACAACTTCGCCGACAAAAGAAACTCAATAAATTTGTGATACCACAGAAAGTAGCAACGAAGCATCCATGATAGAACTGACTTTGTTCAGAGAGCCACCTTTCTAATGACTTGTAAAAATATGATAATTCAATAAGTAGGTAAATATGTGAGGATATAGGAATTGGATAGATATATCGGATCAAAACCACTACCACTACCATATCTAGTCACAATAGCCGCTGAAGAAGAAGAAGAAGCAGAGGATCTCTCTCCAATCTATGAATGAAAACCCGACCATTCAACAAGAGAAATGCAAAAGAGCCTCCCATCCTTCTATATCACAAAATGTTGCAATAATTGAAATGATATTATACCCATTGTTCATTCACAATTGTTGCCCTCCCTCGCTAAGAGCATCCAACTTCTTGTCACAGCCATCCATTCCCAACATTAGCAGCATCTTTCTTCCAACTTTGAATGAAAATTCAGAAGAAAGACCCCTGAGGCTGTAAAAGCAAATGTTTAGCCTTCCTAAGATTCTATGCTTGCAAGCATCTACATGCAATTTAAAACTTTGCGGTAAGAGTTTATTTAATGATAAGCATGATTCATGAACACAGAGTATGCAACTAAACGAAATCCTTGTACAGCTTGAACAAAATTTAATCTATATATTCTCAGAAAATCAGCTTTACTTACCTTCAAGTATGAACCCACAAGGGTTCCAAAGAGAACGACTTCTCATTTCGAGTTTGAGCGGCTGCTGCCCCTAAAGGAGGTGCATGTACGGTGATTGGAAGAACCCACTCACATTTATCTCTTCCCTCAATCAGAAGAGGATGCTCAAACCTGAAATTTTAAGGAGCAATGCCAGATAACAGGATGTTAAATATAAAATTGCTAACCACTGATGAGGATGATCAAAGTGTCAGGCAACAAAAATTCAAAAAGAAGGCCAAACAATATGCATCAGCAAAAGGAAATAAATATTTCAGCTAGAATGTTTATCTTATAAAATAATATCCTATGAAGGCATCAAAGCACAACTATAAAAGCTATTACCTTGTCCAGTCGACATTCTTTGGAGTTGTAAGAAATTCAAATCTAAGAGCCCACTGTACAGAGACATAAGGGGTGGAAAAAGTCATGGGCCCATCCATGGGAATGGAGAAGAGAAAGCTGGTTTGGACTAGATCAGCCACAACCTCATGGTGATCGCTATGAATCTGAACAGTTAAAAGGGGAAAGATCAGCCATTTATTTTGTGCTCTTAGGTTGTCACAACTTTCAAGCAGTATCAAAATGAAAATTTTTATATTTCTTCAAGGCTAAATTCAACTATCAAAGAATAAACGAAAGATATGGTACTCAAGATTCAGCATGTAAGCATTTGGGCAATACTTTAACAAAGAAGAAAAACATAATAAATGTTATAGTAAGCAATTGGACTACATGCTGCAGAAAATCATTTCAGGTTCCTATTAAACTTTCCATCAATGCAAGAGAATGAAACCATGTTTGGTCTACAGGTAATATACTAATTTCAGAAAATTGAGCATCCAACCCGAGGGTGCAGCTATAATTCATAACATGAACTATCTTTTTCATGGAAAATAACTACACCTTGGTAATGGTAGGAGAATGCTTTCGAGAAGGATGAACAAATCGCTTATTTACACTTTCCTTTGCCTCCAAAGTTACTGAGACCTAATGTCACCAAGAATCCCATCAGCTTCAAGATTGTAAAAAAGAATCAACATCTGTTAATAGCCATACAAGATTATGGCATGTGTCTGTACCTCAAGGCATCTCCTTGCTCCCTCTTCATGAAAGAAAGTAAGTGTTCCACCTATCTGTTTACAGATGGGAAAAGAGGTAAGATAAATTGGGTGAAACTGTAAAAAGTAACAAAAAGAAACAATGACACTAAATCATACACTACCATATCACTGAAATAGTAAGTAGAATCGGAGTTCTTAGGTGAAAATCTCAGTAGAACTTGTTCATCTAATCTGATATTGTATGATCTTCCTCTAACAACCCCTTCTGCTGCAGAAAAATGTTGTGATAAAATTAGTCCAAACAAATTGCAGGAAAAGAGAAAAAATTAACAATATGAATCAAATTCTGGAGTACGAGAAAAAAATAAAAAGTAAAAAATAAAAATAAATAAAAATTCTGGAGTACGAGAAAGTCAAGAACACAATTACATGCTCCAGATTCAACTGATCCTGAAGAAAATGGTAATCTTGGATCATCATCAGCAGAGGACTTCAAGTGTTTTGGTGGCTGGCTTGGAGATACTGTAGCTTGGGTACTATCTGAAGGAAGTAAACAGACAGACAACTATGAGAAAATGTGCAGAGTGACTAATCAACACAAGGCTACAACAGAGGCCACCTGCCCTAACAAACAAGCTCATACAAAATCTGAACTAATCCATCAATAGTTTCCACGTTGCAAAGAGAGTTAAAGGATAACAAGATTTACTACCAGAGGAATCATGTAAGACCTCAGCCACAGACATCCGAGGAAGAGCCATGATTGAGGACAAGCTGGTTCGTCCTTCTACATTTAGAGAACCTCTAGTCGAAGACCTTGCTGAAAATGACTGCAGTGATAACGAACTCCCAAAATTTCTAGTCATGTCTTCCTTCATAGGGTTGATTGAAGAAACAGATAAGATCTCATCCCGTGAACTTTCAGACCCTTCCTCATCTCCATCAAAAGCTTCATTCATTTTAGCCTACAAAGAAAAATCAATCAAATCAAAAGAAACAATTTTAGCACCAGGCTATCCTTTCCCAACCTACATAGGAAACAAACACAAGGAGAGGGGAAACATAAATCAATCAACATTAAGAAGCGGCTGTATGTAGAGAAATATACCCACTCAGAATCAGTATCCATTTCTTTCCAGTACACATCCAAGAAGAAGGTTACTCGGGGAACGATTCCTGATAAAATTGTTGTGACACAAAATAAAGCCCAAAATCAATGTAAAATTATTATGGAAACTAGCCATGAGTGCAAGAAGAACATGCATCCAACTAAACGAATGTACTCCAGATCAACTGCTCAGAATGTTGATGTGCGTATTCCATGAAACTGATTGCACCAAGGTGAGAAAAAAATCAAATGGAAGTTGTTTTGGCGGAGCAAATAAAAATCAGAATCAAAATGGAAACATGACAATCTACTTTCACTAAAAGCTTAAGTAATGCTCCAACATGAACGCACAGGAATCATTACCAAAACAGTTAGAGGTTGATGGAACAAAAACAAGATAGAAATCTCACACAAAAATGTAAGAGGACAAGTCATAAAAAGTTGCTTTCCATCAAAGCTACCTTCTTCGCCAAGCAGGCCATTGTTCTTCTGAGTAACCCAAATCTGCAGGGGCATCCGAGCTTCCTACGGTGTTTACAGAAATCAACATCACTACAAGTAGTAGGGATTCATGGAAGAAAGATCAAAAGAAGTAATTGTTATCAAGCATCTCTAAAATACTAATTTGGTATCACTCATCAGCACAAATAACAAAGACATTTCTTCAAACAACAATAATTTGGGTCCTTTAATCCCAATCAAAATTAAGGTCTGTGGATAGCTGGCTGTAACATTCAGAAATAGCATATCCAACCTATGTTTTGTGCATATCAAGATAATAACTTATGAAATAAGTTTCATGTCAGATAACATCAGAAAACATGTCAGAATGCTCGTGCTAGTTGCTAACAAACAGGTAGATGATTAATTGCCAATGCAAAAGTAACAACTAATATGTTCATTTTTCAGAAAGCAAAACTCAACACACACTAACCAGCTCAGAAAATTCTTGTATTGACTCTCCTTGAGTAGGGCCATTTTCCAGAACCAAATATTGTCCAGATAGCATAGTCCTCACATAATATAGATACCGTATGGTTGTGCCTCTGTATGATGGAGGTATAATGTTTGGAAGATGAGTGCGCAACACATCTACAGGTAAGAACCATGTCAAAAATCAACTACAAACTTCCATTAAGTGATTAGAAATTGGGAAAAGGAAACCAGAATATTTTGAAGAAATAACTCATACTAGTAAAAATGACATCTAAGCAACAACAACAAAAAATAAATAGTAGAGCAGGAAATTTTGGCCAATGCGAAGAAAAGAAAAAAACCATAGCAGTTCTACAGATATTTAGCTTGATGTGGTACATAACATGGATCAAGTCCACCCAAATCATCAAACTAAGGAGCCATCAACCCCTTTTTTGATAATGCAATCCAATACAACTTTGGACTTAGTTGCATCATAGTTAAATTTTATCAAAACTGCTTTAATATGAATGCATATAGAATTTGATGGATAAATATAAGTATAGATCTACAAATGCTAAGTATTTTGATCAGTAGTAATCTGATGTCGCAGAGAACTTCCTGAAAGGGTTTCAAGGTTAATCCAAGCTTTAACTTACATGAGGAAGGACTCTTGAAGAGAGATATAAATAATGTAGTTACAAAATAATCTGTCCTACAAATGGTAATAGAATGGTGGTAAAAAAACACATAATATATTTATTAACTTGATCATAAACGTTCAACCAAAGAAAAGCATGAAATACAGAAGCTTCAGAGGGGCAGTGGGTGAATGAAAGATAAAATTAAAGATGTCATAAAATTAGTCAGTTATCATATGTATGCGAAACAGCCAAACATCTATTTTACTAATGAATATTCTAGTTTTCCGTACATGGGGTGGACATGAGTCCATAACTGCAGTCTCAAGAATTAACTTCCTCAAGCTTTTAATTCAGTAATTGATAACATCATTTGGCATCCATAAATTTATAAAAGGAAAGGACAGACTTACAAGTTTTGGCGGCCCCGCTAGAAATAACTTGATTTGAAACTATGGTTGGAGATGGGCAATCCATGAATACATATTCACCTAAAGAGAAAGAGCAGACAATTAGAGTTTAATATAATAGGAGAGAGAAAGAAAGAAAGAAAGAAGGGTTACTTCATGCACTTTATTTATTTTTTTAACCGTTATTATTAAACTACTTGGTTCTTGTGGCTTCCTTGAGGTCAAATAAGTCAAGGTGTACACTTGACACATGTATGCCCAATAACAACAATTTAAAAATACTGAATTATCTTTCAAGCATGTAGTTCAGGCTAATAGATGAAGCTCACATACACCCACACATCTTATCATCAACAATGCCAACAGAAATGTTCACATTTTGGGAGGTGGGGAGGGTGGTGTTGCACCTCGGCGTTGTTTGGAATCAGGAGCAGGCTTGGGAGTGTTGAACCACTGAATGTCTAACTTCTCAATCCCCTTGCACTCAAATCTGAGCTTTTCAATCAAGAGAGAGCAAGCATCTGTAGGGTTTTTAACCTTAATGGTGATGGTGATGAAATCCCCTGGTCTGTACACATCTCTGTCGTGCTCCAATTCCAGGCACGGAGGATCAAGATTAAGATTAGCAGCATTGCTGGAAGGGGTGGAGGCAGAGGAGAAGCCAAATAGTGAGAACCTACGTGTGGGTTTACTGGGTTGTGGCATGTTTCTGGGGACTCCTGGAAAGACATGTATTGCACAAATGATGAAAGTTATGAAAATGATAAAGAGAGGACAAAAAAGTTTTACCAGAGATTGATAGATTACGAAGAAAATTGAGTTACAAGTGGCCTTATCACTATTTATTAAGTTTTGTCAGCTAAAACTATTAACTGAGAAAGAATACTGATAATAATGATTATTATTGTGCACACAAGAATCACTAAGGTAATTTTGATGCCACTTCAAGAATCCAGCCTCTCTTTACGTCTTAAATTTATCAGGAAATTAAGCTGTGGTTCACCCTTATGTTGAGATAAACTGTTATTCCATGTGCATTGCTAACTTGAGCATAAAATATGCAATCTGGGAATGATTCTAATTTATAACGACACAGATGGATCTCAAAACCAATATCAGCACATCAATCTAGACTTGGAATTGAAGTGGCTTTTCAAGAAACTAGGCTCTGGTTCTTTTCAGGTCTGGATTTGGTCTCACACTACTAATAAAAAATTATCCACCAACCATCAAATCAAACATCTCTTTTTTATTTAATTATCACAAAAAAAAATCAATTTTTCATTCAAAACATCGCTTCAAACACCTATGTATATAACATCAAATACTATTTCAATTCAAAATTTTTGTATTCCAAAACCCCAAACCCATATCCCAACCTTAAAGAACACACCCTAAATTTTGCACCAAATCGCATAAATTCAGATAAGCCTGCTGCAACGGTACAGAGTAATTAAATATTTTGACAAGAGATAAAGGCTTGCATGATTTTCCTCTAACCCTAGGGAACCTACAGTTTAAAGAGTTGATCTTTCACAAACCTAAGTGGGATTAAACAAGACAGTTCTCAAAATACCAGCAAAACACAGTCCATGATTTTATTTTTATGTTTACTTTCGTTTTGAGAGGGGATGAGGGTTCTGTTCATTCCTGAAAGGAAATAGGCATGGCCAAAGGAGCTAAAACACACAATATCATACATTAAAAGCATATTATGCTATCACCTTCACCATTCCAGTGGAAGCAATAAAGACAGTGTACTGCAAAATTTTCAAAGATATTGGTGCCAAAAGACAGAAACATTAGCATGAACTCCAAGAAGAACAAGAAATAAAATCCATTCTGGAGTAAAAATGTCCAAATCTGCAAATCCCTGTCCCAACTCATACATTTTGATTACGGGAAGCTAATGAATCATCATCATCACACAACCCCATTTCATTAGAAGAACCAAATTTCTGCCCTAGAGCCAAAAAGAGTCGTCCTTTGTAGACCTTATTCCAGAAGTTGGTGCCGAGATCAGTTGCAGCAAGCACTTAATTATTTAGATTCAAGCTGAAAGCCAACCGCATTCTTACTCGTTCATATGCTTACTTTCCTAAATGCTAATACAAAATGATTGATAAAATATTAGCATTCATAACGTAGAGATCACAGAATTAAACTTCTAAGAATCATTTAATTGGTTAATACGCCAGAATTTCAAGTAAAAACCATAAATTATGGACCACATCCAGAAAGGAGCCAATTTACAGTATCAATTAAACGTAAAATCCCCAAACGATTCAGGGCATCCAACCTTGAAAGAAAAAAATATCCCTACTTTCACACCATAATGTTGCACTTGAAAATTCACAAAATATCAATTCGCGTTGCTACACATCGAAAGAACAAAATTGACTAAAAAACAGGCGATGCATTCTTAAACCCGATGCAGTTGATATACCAGTCTATACGGGCTTTGCAATAAATCGATAGCTGCGGCAGAGATTGAAGAAATGCAGTGATCAAAGACAGATCGCGCGAGAGAGGAGGAGGAGGAGAATTGGGCTTACAGAAATGGCAGGTAGACGACAGCGTGGTGAGATGCAATCGGAAGGGAAGGACGAATTTGACCGCGGTTGATTATTTTAGTTAACCCCTTATCGTTGCTGCGTTTAGTTTTCTCTCTGTATATTTTGGGTCCCTCTTGTCTTAGGTTAACAAACCGAACCAGCGGTTAACTTTTAGTTGTACTGACTTCTGGGCCTTATTGGGCTAAGGTTGGTTTTATTCGTTACTTATTTGACGTACTTTTAAAAATATTAATATTATATTAAGATGAAGTATGAATAAAATAGAAATGATTAAAATAACCTTATTACTATGGTGTGAAATAAAGGTAATGACATTTGTGTAATATATTGTAAATTGTAAGAGTATTTATAATGTTAAGTAAATAGTACAGATACTAAAAAAAATGAAATGGATATTTTGTTATGAGACGGACTAAAATAAAAAAAAATGATGCTTTGTTACGAGAATTCCATATAAATGTGTGAGGAGGTTATCTCTGATTTTTTAAAGTATATAAAAAATAAATATCTGATTTAACATTTTTTCGAAAGAAAATTAAGTAAAAATTAGAAAATCTCAAAACATTTCCAAAAAAGCACAACGTAAAAATAATTTCAATTTTTTAATTTTTTTTCAATATGTTATGATAGAAAATAGAATATGTTTAGTTGGTTGATTTTATATATACATATATATACCCCACTATTGTGTGAGTCCAATTCTTTGCCAAATTAGGTTTGTCCAGTCCAATCCAATTCATTATTTAATAATAAAATGAAGCACAAGTTTGTTAGTGAGATAAAAATTTCATAAAATCTGTTATTATCTTCTTTCACTACAAATACTACCAACATTATCTTACCTTATTCCTCTTCTTACTTTCTATCTTCGAAAATGTGTATCACTCATCTGCTTCTTCTATCATGTCTAAATTTGTCCTTCTAGAATTGTACCAAAAAGAAAGTTGACAATTTTTACAATATCAAATATCTCTGAAACCCGAAATTCATTTGTAAGTAAAAGTAAATTATAATATTTTCAATAGTAAAATTATATTCTTTATGTCAAAATATTACTTTTCCGGCAAGTCCTCTTGTATTTCTAATAAGTTTTATTATTATTATAATAATAACTTGTTACAAAAATATGTTGTAAAAAAGGAATGATTTTATTATTATTATAAATTTCCTATTCATCGATCTGCGTCTGCTTTTATCAGCTATTATTCCTCCAACAGTGGATAGGCAATATTATTATTATTATTATTATTATTATTATTATTATTATTATAACTTTTTACAAAAATATATTGTAAAAAATGAATGGCTTTGTTATTCTATATTGTCAAAAGTTCAGGTCTATCTCATCTTCCGGTGTTTATATACATTATTGAAATTGAAAATTATATATTTCAAAGAGAAAAAGCAAGAATAAAAAATGAGTCAAATCACAAAATTTTCAAGATTGTGTTTCATTCCTTGACAAAGAGTGAGACCGACGAGCCCTCCGACGAAGAGACCAATGGCGATGAGGAGACTGACGGGGATGTAGACTAAGTTGCATTCCAAAATTCGATTCATGCTCTAGGCTTTTACTCTTTAGTTTTTTGTTGCATTATGATGAATCATGTCCTAAGAAATATAGAAAACTTTCAATGACTTATGTTTATCCGTTCATGATTGACCATATAACAATTTTTTGAATAAGTATTGTTTATTTTTTTCAATATATTTGTTATTTATGTCTCATTATTGTCTTTGAACAAGCATCCAAATTTTATAAGTTGTAAAAATCATTTTATAATACAAATATAATTTTGGATGCTAAATAGAATCTTATTCTGAAAAAAAAGACTCTTGCTTTGTGAATTTTAATATATATTCAAGTGTTATGTTCACAACAATGATTCTTTTAGTATGTCAATGCTATAAGTCAATATATGAAATTTCATCAGTTAAAGAAGAATCTTGTTTTGTGGATTATGGTACGTGCATCTATTATTTTAGCAATACAATACAATGTTTCGACTTTGTAATATATTTTAAGTATCATATATAGGAATTAATTATATGCTTATCTCACTTTATTTTTAATGCATATGCTTGGTTGAATCTAAATTAACTTTTTTTCTCCCCCATTATGTAGGTTTTGAAAAATAAAAAATAAAAATATTGATATCTAGTTTTGTCACCCCATGATCCAATGTTGTTGAGTCTTCTTAGCTCATCCCTGAAGGATATAAATCTTAAAGAAAATTATCATTTCAAGTTAGCAATATAAGATATTATAATGGTTTTGTTGGTGTGTTTTAGCCTCGACCCATATCCGATCCAACCCGACCCGAGCCAACCATGTCCGACCCAAACTCGCACCGATCCAATTTGTCTGATTTTTTATTCCTTTTCTCATATCATATACACTCTATTCCCTATTTTGTTCAAGATTTGAATAAACCCAAATATGTTCTGTCACTCTGGGTGCTTATCCCTACTTTTTCTATATCGATCAAGTCCGCCTAGTAGTCGATAAGGTGAGGTTGTTTCATTCTCTTTTAGTATCTATCCATCTAGCTCTCCTCTATAAATATGGATTTGGGGTTTGGGGAGAAAGTGCGAGACAAGTTCTATATTCTCTTCTGTGAGCGAGCGACGAACATGCTGCATTGCCAAATCCTTTTCTCGGTCGACTATAGATTATTGTTTTGTCATTTTATATTGTATGTGCGAGGATTACTCTAGGGTTCTTGGGTTACTGCGTGCTAGGAACCACCACAATCGACACCTTCGTGGGTTATCTCGTAGGACGACTTGGAGTTGGAGAAGGAGTGACTGCGATTTAAGCTTACCTGATTGATTAAGCAATTTTCTTTCAATTCTTTATATATAATTTTGTTTTATACTCTTAATGAATTTTATCCGCACTAATTGTTTGGTTGAGAATTTGTGCAGATCACCCCAATGGTTCAAGACGATCAAGAAGTATAACATTGATATCAAAGCTAAGGTTAAAAGTTGAGCACGGGTTGAATTTGCAACATAGGTGTAAAACAAAAATTTGTAAAATTGCCTCAATCAGTAACGGATTGTTAACCTTTAAACTTCTATGTGTTAGATAATCATTGGGTATTTGTGATTGATTCTATATGATTAATTATGTGACACTACTATCACATAATTGACTGCTCCAAGAGCAAGTAAGTAGTTGACTACTGATAGTTAGTAAATTCTTGCTTGACATATTTGGTTGTGTGCTTGAGTTGGCTATTACGTACAAAGCTGCTCCTAAAAAGAATAAATAGTTGACCACAAATAGTCATTTTATGTGACCGTGTGAAATATTTGTCAATATATTGTATGTGTCTCCTTTCAATATTGCACTATTTGATGGAAAAAATTGATTTTTCAATTTGACAACAAAAAATGAGAGGACTTTTAGTAGCTAAAAAAGTTTCCAAAACAATTGATGGTGATTATAATGCATTAATGATAAATATATTTATTCTCTGACTATCTTGAACTTATCTGATTATGTGATTAGAAAAGTAGGAAAACTTAATTCTACAAAAGAGTTGTGGGAAATATTAGAAAAGTTGTATAGGAAAAATCTTTGCCAAACAAATTGTTTTTACTCGAATTTTTTTTCCGATTTAAACTTGATTTGAATCGAAATATTGATGAAAATTTAGATGTTTTTAAAAATTTAGTTCAAGATATAAAATTGACATGCGATAAAAATATTAATGAATATACCCTATTGTTCTTTTGAATGCAATTCCTGATTCATATTCAAATGTTAAGTCTGATATCAAATATGGCAGAGATAGTAAAAATCTTGAAAATGTCATGAATAGATTAAAAGGTAAAGAACTTGACTTGCATAATAAAAATGTTACTGATGAAGTGATGTTTGCTAGGGGTAGATCACAAGTCAGAAAAACACAGAAAAAAAAAAAAGTAAAAAGAGCAATGAGAAATCTAGGTATAAGTCTAGGCCTAAAAACAGAAGGTGTTACAACTGTGGGGAACTCAATTATTATGTTAAACAATGTCCACATTCTAAGAACTTTAAAAACCAACAGAATGAGCATTCTAATATGACTATAGGAAATGAATATGTAGAAGATGTTTTTATGGTTAAAGGAAATTGTGTTGTTATTAATACTATATGTACTAATAAGTGGCTACTTGATTTTGCGTATACTTTCCACATGTCTCATTTGAGAAACTTGTTTTCAAACTATAGGTCTATTTCCCATGCTAGTTTTTAATGGCAAATGAAAAACTTTGGTATAGGTGATATTTGTCTAAAGTTCAACTCTGGCTATGTGTTAACCTTAAGAAATGTTAGGCATGTTCCTGATTTGTACAATAACTTAATTTCATGTGTTACACTAAATGAAAGTGGATTAATAGGCAAATGGGGAAATAGTGTTATGAAAGTCTTAAAGCGTTTGTTTATTCCGTTTAAGGTTGTTAGACAAAACAATCTATATGTTCCTTATGCTGAACCAAATTGCATACCAAATGTGAATTCTGTTGTTAATAATAAAACTGAATTGTGGCATAGAAGATTAGGTCACGTTAATGATAAAGGTCTTGAGATCTTAAAGAAAAATGGTTTTCTTGGAAATGATAAAATTACTACTGTACCTTTTTGTGACTCGTGTGTTTATGGTAAGCAACATAGAGTAAAATTTTATTATTCTCATGTCCCGAAAGTGCCTAAATGTAAGGATGTGCTTGAATATTTGCGTGTTGATGTGTAGGGTCCAACTCTTGTTCTTACTCAATGAGGGAGTTGTTACTTTCTGTCGATAATTGATGAATTTTCACGAAAAGTTTGGATTTTTTTTATTAGAACAAAATCAGATGTTTTTGAAAATTTTCAAGCATGGAAAAGGTTAATAGAAAATCAAATAGGTAAGTGCATTAAATATTTGAAAACAAATAATGGTCTTGAGTTTTGCAATAAGTGGCTTGATTCATTATGTGCTAAATCAGTTATTTTTAGACATAAGACAGTTCCTTATACACCCCAACAAAATGGGTTGACGGAACGAATGAATCAAA